CTGTGACTTACCTAGAACAAGTACAATATAAAATTGAGGAGCTGACAGGACACTTCCACCAGGTTTTTAAATGCTATTAATATGTAAGGTGTATTACAGCATAAAACCAAAATTCTGCTTTTGTTTTGCTTCTTCTGTATGTTTTCTAAAATGGACATGTCAGTTTGGCTGTAAAGTCCTATCATATTTAGTTTTGATTTAAATCCTGTCTTTTCTCAGCTGTGCTCTTTAATGGAATCATTCATGCTCTTTATACAGTTGATCTAATAATATTTTCTTCACTGCTCTCTGGCATTATTTTTTACTTTGTAGAAATCATGGCAAAACTGGCAATATAAATTGAGTCTGCATTTTAGTGATATTGATGTTGATTTTCTTGGGTACTTGTATAAAGCAGGGTTTTTTCCTCTCTTTGTACCATGGTCATTTCAATATGCTGTGGCATGAGCATGTGAATGACTTTGATTTATAAGATTCTCTAATGAGACTTTTCCAATATTTGTTACTTAAACTTCTTTGCTCAGGAAGGCCATCAACAGAATGTCCATGAGATAACTTCATCTTTCTCTTTTCTTTTTATAAGCAAGATTGTCCAGTGACTTGTGAACTGGTCTGTTGGAAGTCCCTGTTCCATACAAGGGGAACAGTGTCTTACCACTGGAAAGCACTGGGAGATGGTAAGTCAGTGACCTGCAGCATTTTCTGATTTGTAGATTTCTCGGATTTCAAATGAGAATTCTTTTAGTGACAACATATTTTTTTCTGGATACACTTAGAGGACAAATTATGTACTGTAACAATGACCATCTCTGTTCCAGAACCTCCATGATGACTAATTAATCTGCGGGGAGGAGGTGTAAGTGTGAGCCTTAGAGTGAATTTTCTCCTTGTTTATACAGAGGATCTAAGATGCCAACTCCTACCTCAGGAGAGTGAAGCCCTTTACAGAGGCAGCAGATGCAGTTCAGCATTGCTCTTTATGTTGTGCTTCAACTCTGACCACAGAAGAGTGAGCTCTTGGGACAGCAAGTGCTCTGTTTACGCTCAGACCTTGGCATTTTTCCTAAGGGTACCAATTATAATGGTGTTTTTTGTGATATGGGCACACATCCATTATGAATTGGCTTGCACCCACCAACTCATTTTGCACAGGCCATGGAACATCCATCAGATGGCAATGATTCCCATTTGTGTGCAATGTTAAGGAAACCTAGATCATTACCAGCAGAATAATGAATCCCATAGAATTGTTCCATTGTGCAATTATATGAACTATGCTAAGAGAAAGTTCAGTTTCTCAATAATTCCCTCCTTTTTTTTTTTTTTTTTTTTTTTTTAAAGCCACAGGAATGATAGATTATTAATCATGATTAATACTCAGTTACAGTGAATTATAGTGGAGCAGTGCCTGGAAATCCCAGTCTGCTTGGTAAACTCATTTTCTTGCATAATAGAAAACTTACCTTGCATTTAAGAGAACCCAAATAGATGAAGATGAAAGCAATGGAACCACCCATTTCATGTAATTAAAAGAGAAATTTAATAGATACATACATTCTTAGTCCAACATTATTGAACTTTTTTTGATACTGTACAAGCATAGTAGGAGAAATACAATTGCAAACATATTGATTGTTCTTGTATTTTGCTTTCTTCCTGAGAACCAAAGTCTTCTAGAGCTCATCTGTAGCACTCAGCCTGAATCCCTAAGCAGCGCTGGAGTTAAGGCAGGGCTGTGCATTGTCTTGAAATTAGGAAGATGTTGGTTGTTCTAGCTGATGATTGCTTGAGAGAGTATGGATCATCAAAATGCTTTAGAAAGCAGAGGAAAGTTAAATGAGGTAATATATTATGCTCCATCCCTATATTTGGGGGTGTACACAGGATAATTTTTTTTCAGCCCCCCATTTAGCGTGCATGAAGAGTAAGGCACCAGAACGACACGAGACAAGGGCTCATGGTCAGTCAGAGAATTTAATTTCCTTAGGGAATAACTCATCTTTTATCTTTTGGAAGCTCCCTGAGGCCTTTCCCATATTTAGCAAACTTTAATTTCCCTAAAGTTTACATCCCAATCTGTATTATGTTCTGAGAACGCGGGGAAAGGAGGTGAAAAGACATGTTCTCCTCAAGGGTGAGATTCCTGGGTCATTTCCAAGAGGAGATCCTTAGAGAGCATCCCATGGGCCCCTCCTGTAGAAGGTAGGAACACAGCTCTTCATTATTATCTCTGTCTCTCTCTTCCCCCAGCCAATCTGTCGGCGCATTCCTGGTGCTGAGGAGGGAGAGGCGTCGTGTCGGAGCGATGTTCCCGTTTGCAAAACGGTAACTTCTATTTGTTGTTCTGAGGAGCTGGTTTCACACACTGACATCTCCTGGGAGCACAGCTGAGTCCAACATGTTCCCAACAGCCATCCACCCAAACGCCTCCTACTCAGGCGCCCAGACCTTCCTTCCCAGTAAACAGAGAATACAGAGACAGCCTTGAATTGTTCCAAAAGTTTCTGTTTCACTGGAATGTCTACCCATGTTCAAATCTGATAAATGGGTATTTTTCTGCCCTAGGAAGTCAGCTTAGTGTGGGAATAGGCTGACTTTTCAAAGAGGAAACCCAGGTTCTGGAATAATTAATGGAAAAGTCTGACTGACTTTCTCTGGTGTCAATACATAAATATGTTTCTATATGTCATGAAAACACAATGTTGCAATTAACGATTTTATGACAGAAAAGAAAGTCATCATAAGCTGCTGCTTCTGCTGCATTGTGTGAAATAACACGTTTTTCAAGGTTTCGTCATTCATACAGAAGGTCTCTCAAAATCTACTTCCTAAAGCAGGAAACTGAGGAATGTGCCATTGCGCATTTTAGGCAAGGAGATACTGCTGCATTATTTAAAATACCACCCTTCACCACAACAGCAGACCTCAATATATCCCACAGTGTGATTCCAGTCATATTGTTGGGACATCCTGTCTAGCCATGGCTATGGCCATGACCGCTGTAATTCTGTCTTTGACCTTACCCATGCCCTATAGCAGACATGACCTCAATATCCCAACCTATGGGTTGCAACATGATAAAAAAAGATCTTTGGAAGAATAATTCCTAGGAAAACAGTTGAAAAAAACTCCACATTTGTTCCAGTAGTCCTTAATTCAGCTCCACAGCTGAGTGGAGACCTCACTTGCTACGGGTAATGCCAGTGAGGTCAATGCGTGTTACCTCGCGGGCTCAAAACTGAAACAAGACATCCTGGCTTGCAGGACAAGCTCTCCGTCTCTTGGTCCTCACTGTCAACATTCTGGGATATGCCACCCTCTGGTTTCATCTCCTGGGCTCCTTCCAGCCATTGCACATGAAATCTCCCCTTGTTACCAGAGGTAACAAGAGCAAGGACTGCCAACGTGCATCTCTATTGACACTTCTCTAAGAAATGGTATGTGGACCAGATTTTCCTTTTTTCTGACCCTTAAGTGCCTTGGCTCGGTATTTTTATTCATACACACCCACATGCCACTTTGCCAGGGATAACCCCTGATAGAGGGTATAGAATGATCCAAGGCTCTGTGGCCTGATATCTTGCACTGAGAGTTTAGTTGTGAGGCTCAGTACTGGAAAATTTCAGATCAAAAATCTGTGGGAGAATGGAAACTGGACCATTAAAACTTGGCATTGCCCAGCCCAGGGTGGGTGTCCCAAACCAGTGCCTCCTGAATGACAGTGGGTAGTTCTTTGGGGTTTGGATCCAGACCCAGCCAGCAGGCTGGCACCGGTGTGGCAGTGAAGGACTAATGATCTTGTCCCTTCAAGTGGCTGCAACTCATGATGTGAGGTCACAAAATAAACAAAACTCTTCTGCTCCCCACCAGTGTCCTGGGAGGAGCACAGACACAAGGTGTGCTGGGCTGCTCCATGCATTGCTGAGGTTTGTTGTCCTCTGGTCACTAAGACACCTATACAAAGATTGTTAGTGATTCTAATTATTACTTTTTGGTGGTTTGAAGACAGAAATTTTCCAGAAGTAGAGGCAAAAAAAAGGTAATTCACAAGAATTTTTTTTTCCCATTAAATATTTGTCTATCAGGATTACTCTGGTTAATAAACAAGAGGCTTCAATGATTTCAGCCAAGCTCAGCATCCCAGCATCTTGCTCAGGATCTTGCTTTGGGATTCCCCAGGCACTTCTGCACTGGGATCAGTGGGGTTTTAGGGAGAAATTTTAGTGCCTGTACAAAGCAAACACTGTCTCTGGTGTTAGTCTATAAATATCTAATATGAGCAAGCAACTCTGTGTTTTCCTCTGTGCTTAATACCTGTGTTCTGCACCCTCAGGCAGCTGAATTTACGTGCTTTTGTTGTCATATGTGTAATGTGCAATATGTATTTCCTTTTTATTAATCAGACCTGCCATCAGGAAAGAGATAGAGGGAGTTTGAAAGCACAGCCAGGATAGATACTGTCATTTTGTAATCTTTTGTGCACAGGTGGAGATGCCTGTTTGCACTAAAATAGGTGACAATATTCTGCTGCTTGCAGAAATCTTACAAATGAAAATAAAGCAAAGGAGTTTACTGACTATCCACAGTGTAATTCTCCTCTGGAAGCGTGCAGTCAATTCCCATTTAGGCTAATTACACTTAAGGAGCCCTTTCCTATAACTAATGAACAATAGGCATAACCTGTTATTACATAACCATAGGCACACACATTAATACACTGTCGAATGGCACTACCCTGTGAAAATGCTTCCTCCACAAAACTCACCAGAGATTTTAGCAACATTTGCTGTAATTACCACTAGCATGGTTTCTAATTCATTTAATTTTCTGTTCTACCTAAACTGAGCATATAAGTGTGTTCTAAGAGATTGAATAAATAAATTTTTAATTATAAAATGACGCTATATCATAAATTATTTATAATAATCAACAATGTGTAGTACATGTTTAGGTATTAATCCATTAAGAAGATAAACTAATGTATATATCAGTCCTAAAATAATGTCCTAATTTGTCCTGTGTTTATGAATGGGGAAATCTGTGTTTAAAGGGATTATAGGTTTATAAAAGCCTTGGATTGACAGTGGATGTAGCATGTGGCATGCTTGGCACTTAGGAATTCTGTTGTCATCTATGGCAAAGGAGAAGACCCTTTTTTGTCCTTTATTGGTTTCAGCAGCTTGTGAATTCACAGAACCAGAACGGTACAGATATACAGACCTCCAAGGAGGGAGCAGCAAGATGCACACAGTCCTCACTGGTAAAATCTCTGGTTACTATTAATATCTTAAAAAAAAAAAAATCTCCTTTGTAATTTGCCAGTTCACTTTCAGGTAGCTTTGAGGAATTTTGTCAATTGTTTTCCTATTAGCGATAGCAGACTTCAGAAATTTCCATGGCAAGTTCCAGGCATTCTCCAGTCTCGTGGCAGGACTCAAAAAGGCTGCAATCAATGTCACAGTCACAGTTGCAGTCGTTGTTGCCGTGGTCTTCGTCAGAGGTCTGGTAATATCTATTGGATGGACAACAGGTATCTGTCAGCCAATGTTCACAGGTATCAGGCAGCATTATAAGAAAGTCCCAAAATTGGCAGAACAAGCAGGCCAGGATAAGAGTTGCACATTCATCTAAGAGAGAGGAAAAGCAGGGAGATATGAGAACAAGGACGTGCTGGATTACCCAGGTTTAGGCTTGAGTGGCTACACAGAGACGAGATGCAAAGGAGCACACAGGGTGGGCTAAAAATACATTGATGATAACTACTTCTATAAAGACAAATGAAAAGTTTCTTTTCTATGATATTTGTGTCTGGAAAAACAATATCTCTGTATAAATAATTTGAATGGAAATATTCTGTGGCAGTGAAGTTTGGAGGGATAAGCACTTTGAACCAAATTTATGGTTGGACTGGATGATCTTAAAGGTCATTTTCAACGTAAATTATTCCATGATTCTATACTCCTAAAGTGTTTGCATTGTAAGCTTCAGGCACTAGGGATGCTCTGAGCGGGGGTTTGCAGCCTTGCAGGGTTTGGAAATGCTGCTGGTTTGAGATGCCACATGTTCTGCCTGACCAGCTGTCCTGGTTTCAGCTGGGATGGAGTTAATTTTAGCTGGTACAGTGCTGTGCTTTGGATTTAGGATGAGAATAATGTTGATATAGCACACTGATATTTTAGTTGTTGCTAAGCAGAGTTTATACCAAGTCAAGGAGTTTTCACCTTCTCGTACCCAGGCAGCAAGGAGGCTGGAGAGGCACAAGAAGCTGGAAGGGGACACAGCTGGGACAGCTGAGCCCAGCTGGCCAGAGGGATGTTCCAGTCCAAATGGCATCATGCTCAGTACATAAATTAGGGAGAAACGGACCAGGAGTTGCTGCTCAGGAACTGGTTGGACATTGGTCAGCGAGTGGTGAGCAAGTACAATGTGTATCACTTGCTTTGCATATTCTAATTATTTTATCATGATTGTTATTATTTGTCGTCTTCCTTTTCTGTCCCATTAAACTGTATCATGAGTTCTCTCACTTGCACCCTCCTGATTGCCCCATTCTGCAGCAGGGCAGTGAATGAGAGGCTGCGTGGGGCTGAGTTGCAGCCTGGGATTAAACCATGACACCAGCACGTGTGACACTGGAGTTTGTTTTAATTTTCACAAGAATTTGCACTAAAAATGCTTAATGACTAGCCGAGGACAGGGAGGTAGAGCAGGTCTGGAGAAGAACGTTCACAGAGAGCACTGTGCTCGTCAAGTCTCAGCCCAGGGTCCTTCTACCTCCCCACCGAAATGAGGTTCTCACCATTTACAGTCACAAATGTTAATTTTTCAAAGGAGGAGAAATTTGGAAACTAGGTCATCTAGGTTGTGTGTCTGTAGGCGGTGAATATTCCTGAAAACTTGGTCACCACGAGTAAAAACTTCTCGTTATGTTTGTTCCCTTCAAAAGTCAACTAATTGACTCCCCACTGCTCAGCCTCCCCCAGCATCTGGGGAGGCTGCTCGAGTGCAGCAGGTGTGACAATCCGACTGTGTGAATCCACTTGGAGCACAAAGACCCAGACCTTTCCTTTTTTTTTTTTTTTTTTTTTCCCCCCCCTCCTTCTTGTTTTTGGAAGGGAAAAATGCCTTCAACAACATGAATGTCTTTTCATTGGTTCTTTCGGGAAAGCATATGGTTATAACCACATTTCTTGCCCTAGGATGACTAACTGTGAACTCATTCAACTGCTTTGGTTCTGTTGTGGCATTTTCTATCTCACGTAACATTAAGTTCACTGCCAGGAAGTTTCCGGAATTATGCTCCTCTTTTTTTTTTTTCTTTCTTTTTTTTTTTTAAAAAAAAAAGCTTTCTTGCTGAAAAACAAAATCTAAAAAAATCCAGCTTCTTTATTTAAAAAAATAAGCAGTTAAGGCAGGTAGCAAGAATAAATAGCATATGATTGAACTTCTTTCTAAGTGTCATATCATCACCAATGTTATCAATTTTAATACTTATTTAAATATGTCAAGATCTATTTATGTTCAGACAAGCACAACTAACTTCTAAGTCAGTTCTGTCGAATAAGAATGACTAGATTTCGGTGATACTTAGTAAATTCATGCTTATATTTTTTTTCTAACTAAATGAACTGAAATAATTATAAAATTGAAACATTTAATAAGATGACACTGCTGCATTTAATTGTATGAAATTTACACTGTAGAAAATGTAATCATTTTATTCAGCAGTCCTTGGTGTAATTAAGACTATTCTTTTTAGATCTTTATGTTTATGAAATTTCCTTCCTATACATAGATGTGAGAGACAGAATTCAAAATTATGTATTAATTAAGTATTTTTCAATTTTTTTTCCCTCTCCAAAGATCTGTTTTCTAATAACAGGTTTTTTTCCCTTGAATGTGTTAACCATAATGGTGCTTATGTAATCTGGAGAGAATAGATATAATTCTTGGGGCTTCATCCAGGAAAGAGAGCACACAAAAAGCACAAAATTTTAATAATAAAGTAATGTTTCAGCACAGACTCTGTGATGTGCAGTAAAGATGCTTTTAAATTCCCATCAGAGCACACACCATGAACTGTGATAATGGATGTAACACATTTCGAAAAATCTGCATGTGTGAGGCTTTTTGGTCCTGTTTTAAGTGGGGTAATGTATATAAATAATAGATATTAGCAATTAAACATCCATTCCTATGCATTCATTTATATATTTGAAAATAAATTAGCCACAAAATGCATAAAAGAAGATGCAATCTCCTGTTTTCCCCTCTGTTTTCCCTGCTGTTTGCCAAACAGTGTTACTGCGTTTATCTCAGTGAGAACAATGACCTCAGCTCTCATTCTCTACATTAGTAGATTAATTAGCACAAAAGAAGAATTTCTAATAATTTTTCTAGCATGCCTCATCTCTAAATTTTCCTGCTCTTGTTTGGTGGCATCTGCTTATAGGGATGATTCTCCGAACAACCATGGTCCAGTGCTCACTTAAGCCACACTGGCCACGTTTAGTGAGACTTATGTGGGTCTGCTCCTCTCTGAGTGCACAGAACAAAATAACCATCAATTTCCTCATCTATTTCTCTGCTTTCAGGGGTTCTCCATGCACCAGAAAACAGGATTTGGCCTCACGTATGTAGAATAAGCAGTAAGTTGTCAGAGTAGAGTGAGCTGAGTATGCAGTGACAGCCACAAATCTGGCTTCCTTTGGTTTCCTTGGCTTCCATCCAGCCCTTAACATTATTAATTGAGCACAGATTGGGGGTTTTTTTTGTTGTTAATTTCCTTCACTTTTAGCTTTCTTAAGGAGTATGAAATCTGTTATTTGCATCACATGGTACACACCTGTGTGCCAGTAATGGTTGAGATAGTCAGCAAACTCAGAAAATAGGGAGTGTCTGGACTAGAGAACAAGTCCTCTAAATAAAATAAATACTTCAGATCCTTCACTGAAATTAAGTACATTCTAATAGATGTATCAGATACATCCCTTTTATACAGGATCAGTGATAAAATAGAGATGTTACTGGTTCCTGGATAGCATGGCACTTAATTGTGCTATATTTAGACATTCTTATTTGGGAACTGTTAAATGATGTACACAATAGATCCCAGCTCCACTGGATGTAACACACTAATCCATTATTGCAAAAGGCACACATAAGAAACTTCTAAAACACTTCACAGAGCCTTTTTTCACATCCACTGGAATAATCAGGAATAGCATTTATTTGATCCTGACTCTGGTACCTCTGTGCAAACACTCATTACTGAAGTACAAATGCTCTGTGGCACAATAAGCCCTACGCTCCTCTTGCATGACTTTAATATCACTGCCAATTTAAGATCATCTTCTAGAGAATCTCATCTACCACACAAATGTCTGCAGGGCAACTTAACATTGCTTTTGGCGATGTTCTTGAACCTCCTGTTCAACATGTAATTTCGAGTTGGATACACAGAGTTCTTTTGCAATGGGCATTATTTAGAAACCAGCTCCAATGTGATCTGTGTTATAAAACGTACCGTCACTGTCCCTCTGATGTACTGATGCGTCATCTTCAATGTAAGTGAATTCTCTGCATTTCTCCAGGGAAGCAATGGATGATCTGCTCGCATCTGACAATTTCTTCTCATTTTTGGTGCCCTTTGATGAAGCGTCTGTGATGCTGAATTCTGCGACAGAACTCATAACAATACCTTTCATAGGCTTTTCATCTGTGTGTTTTTCATTTGTAAGCTGGTTGTCTGGTGGGTTTAGGGGAAAAAAAAAGAAAAAGACTGTGATATCAAGACAGAGATCTGAAAGAATAACATATGCAGAATTTCCAAACCTACAGTTGTTTACTTTCAAGGCCTAACCCTTCTTACCTAATGATTTCAGTCTCTTTACAGAGGTTCATTCATAGTATAGGTATTTGTGAACTTGCCTTCTAAGGTTTTGTCTTAAACCCAGTGGACTTAAAGGCTAAGTAATAATTTACTTCCACTGGGTGGGATCAGGTTTTGAGAGAGAACAGAACTATTGCTTCAGTTAATATCTATTTTGAGTATGTTATCCTAGCTTCAACTTGTGATATAAAAGAAGGTAAAACAATTAACTTGTTATTTTTCAACAGCAACTCTATTTTTTCCCTAAATTTACAGCCAACAATGTACACGTAGGGGGTACCTTGATGCAGATGTGCCAGCTCACCATGGTTCATAATCTTGTAGCAAAGAAAGCCAGATGGTCTCTGTTTAACATCCAGATTCCTTATTTCATAACTTCATCCCCACTTGTGTTGTTGGCCTGGAAGTCAGCGAGGAGATGGGATACTTCACATGCTGTCAGCGTGCCAGAGAGGCAGCTCAAAAACCAGAGGGAGAGCTTAATTTTAAGCCCCAACTAGGGGAAAGGTTAAGAAGAGTTCTGAGTTCAATTTATTCTTGAAGAACTTCTCAGGCACAGATAAACATGGGTTGATATATAGTTTCACTCACTCTCTGAAGTGATCAAGAGGCCAAGAAACACAGTCATTCTCTCTGTGGCGGGGATGATAAAACCTCATCAGTTCTTATCTACAGCTGATTAACTCCTGCACCTCACATCAAGCACAGCCTCACTTTTTATCTTACTTAAATCTTGTGATATGCTTGCTCTTGAGCTACATACAGAAAATCAATCTTTACAAACAACTCAGTTTTGCAAATACTGCTTTCTGAGAGGAAAGACAGCAAGTGCTCTAAAGTGGTTAATTTGCACTTGGCTGCAAAGGACCCAGAAAAGAGACCCTGCATATCTCTTGTTTTTCAGGTACCTTTGACCTCTGATATATATCAAAGAAAAGCCAAGGAAAGGCTGGCAGAGAGTGAAACCTTGATGAGACTACAGTTGTTCCATCCTTGCAGCCAAGCGGAGGAAATGTGGGTGGAATGGATGAATTACAAGGTAAGTGAAAAACCACTGGGTCCACAAGGTTTGAAGTGGGGACAAGCAAGGATTTGAGGTCTAAGTACTGTCTGGAGCAAGTCCTGTGAAGGCCACTGAAGATGTGAAGGGTCTGGAAGAGCTTCTGTACGAGCAAAGGCTGAGAGAGCTGGGCTTTGTTGCCCTGAATGAGAGAAGGCAAAGAACGATGCAGGATGCTGTGTTCTACTTCACAGCCAGAGTAATGGAGAAGCAATTAGGATTGCACAGGAAACAAATTCCTCATCGTGGGAGGTCCCCAGGGCAGTCCCCAGCAAGGGTAGGGAAGTATGTAGAGCTGGACATGGACCCCAGCAACCTGTTCTTACTGCAGCTAACACTGGTTTGTGGAACAAGGAGACGAGCTGACTTCTTGGAGTCCCTTCTGAGCTCATTCTTCTGTGATTTCTATAATTCTATTTATATATAGAATGACTGAGCAATTCATCTAAATTTATGCTCATTGTCTCATTGTAAATTTTGTGCCATTTTAGGTCATTTTTACATGGTGAAATATGTAGAAAGGTAAAGGTTAGTAGAGTAGGACCTTGGGAGAGGATATGCAGAAATACCAAACTATCATCTTAATTTTAATTTTATATTTAAATCACTGCTTTAAAATTGTATGTTGGCAGATGTATTGGCTTGATTTTGAACTTGCAATAATGACAAAGTCTACTATGAATGAAATGTGGAATTTCCCTGTCCTGGAGAGTTTACAGATTGGCCTCAGGCAGGGATAGAATGATGAGATGGAGAGAAGTAGAAGAAAAGAGACAGTAAGAGAGCAGTGGCACAGAGAGGAGTCTCAGAAACCTGTAACTGTCAGGTTTTGTGAGCATTATGATGAAGGAAAGCCACAGGCAAGACTTGGGAAGGGCAGGAGAGGTGGTGGCTCCACTGGGTGTGACCCAGCAGTGCAAAGCACAGCAGTTCTCCCCTGCAAGTTGTACTCTTAGTCATAGGAAACCAGCATGCCGGGCTGTGCATATCTGGCTTTGCCCATCTGTGATGATTTGTTGATGGTTTTCCCACCAGAATAAGTAAATATAGCTCTCCTTTTTCCCTCTCTGGCTTCTTGGCCAGCCTCTCCAATCCAAAATGTGAAAACTCATGCATTTGGATGTACTTAAATGTGGAGTAATCACTGTTTTACAGTGTTTATAAATCAATGACATACCACAAGTTTTCCTGCACTTTCATTCAATAACAAACTATTTCCAGGAAAAGTTGTGCTAATTGAAGCAGCAGAGCTCTAGAGGAAGCAATGTCCCATTTTGCATTGGGTTTATTGGATAATAATTGATTTGTTAGTCCTAAAAACACATGCCCTACCTGTTATTCAGGTGCCAATCTTACATATGGATCCTGTTTGTCCAGACTGAGAGCTGAGCCACTGAGCACACACGGATCAGATCCAGAAGCTTAGGCAAGAAGAACTATAATTTTCCACTTTCATAATTGGCCCCAAAATCCAAACTAGATATGTTTTACTTCATAATATATCTATTGACTTCCCCAGTTCTACAACAATACAATGGCCCATGGAATGCATTTAAGCATTCAACAAGCGAGACTGAAAAAAAAATCAGACAGAGGTAATCAGTAAATGCCAGACTAACATTTACTGTATCCACTGACTTCTACTATTCATACTTTGAGTCAGTTTTTATTCTTGAAGTGCTGTTGAAGAGAAATCAAAACCAGAAATAGAAAGGCATAGACATAACCTGAATTTTTCAATACAGCACCGTCAAACAAAAGGATAACAAAAGCTGTCACTCAAGGACTCTTCTGTTTGTTAAAGCATACTACATCTTGGAAAATACAGTACATTTTAGTGTCAGACTCTTAGTTTGAAAAGCTCCCTTTCAGTAATGTTATACTTGTCTTGTACAGCTAGATCAAGTCTTCATGCAATCACCGTAACAAGCAACTTGCTATGACAAGTGAGATCCTTGCTTCCAGAAAACACTGGGGGAGAGGCTAAAGCAGTGTACAATTATAGGTCTCCATTTCATTTGTGTGCAATTACCTTCAGTTCAGCTGTGGGTCCATCTACATTATGTCTTTTATCAATTTAATGTTTGCACAAAGTGTCTGAAGAAATAAAGATTATGCTAGACCAGCATAAAAAAAAAAAAAAAAAAAGGTGGTTAGCACTTTTTTTTTTTCTATTATAGTTTGTTGCTGAATGGAACAGTAGTAGGTTGGGAGCTTGGAACAAATAAGTGCAGACAAATAAACTTTAAAAATATATACAACTGATGTTATTTTAATATCTGATTACTGTTGAGAATATAAAAAAATTAAATTAAAATAAAAGATAGGCAGAGGGTCAAGCTTTGCTACTTCCTTTGTGAGCTTGTGTTCAGCTTCAGCTGTCTGCAAATTTCTGTGTTTTTAACATGTAGAAATCGTCAACTGAAGTGAATTTAAAAAGAAAAATTAATGCATCACGATGAAGAAATCTCAGACTATTCAGTGTTAGACTGTTAGGCAGAGGCATCTAAAGGTACACCCCCACAATGTGCCATTTTTAAATAGTATCATGAAGTAGCAACTTTCTTCCTCATATGGGGAAGCTGGGACTTGCCTTGGCTGTTGCAGCAGAAGACTGGGATTGTTCACCCCTGTTTGTATTGAAGATATAGTCTCAATACTCACCAGTGTCTAAATTCTGAAAGCACAAAGTAAATCACTTATTTTCCACTGAAGCCAGTCCCAGATCCCTTTGGTTATCAGGGAGGAGCAGTGATACCAAGACTGGCTTTTGCAGTAGGTCCCCTGACTTCTATTTCTCTTCATTGGCTTTAGACACAAACCAGTGTCTTGCAGTCCTGGAGAACAGGAGGCTGGGGTTTCCTGGCATGCTTTTGAAATTTGTTTTTCTATAGAGGTATATATAAAGAGTCTAAGTGTGGTTTTGATAAGGGACAGGGGGAATAAGGAGTGCTCTGTTCTGCTGGACAGGGACTGTAGCAATGCGTCTAATCCAAATAGCTCTTGGAGCAACTGGTTAGGGGGAGATGAAAGAGAAGGAGAATTGATCTATCACCATTGTGGGGCTCCTCCACATCTTACAAGCAAAGGACAAGGGAGTCTGTGGCAGTGGCTGCCAGTGGCATTTGTTCCCAATCCATCCTGGCAGTAGCCCTTTTGCCTCCCACCCCTGTGGCAAGGAGTCCCAAGGGTTAATTCTAAACTGTGTGGAAAACTCCAGCAGTTTAGGACGTGTCAATTTTTAATTTCACCATGAGGTATTTTGGTGTATCAGTGCGGCAAAAGAACCAAAGGAATTCCTGGTTACTCCCCCTGCCATTTGTTATCCCATGGACTGCTGTCACTGCCTGTCTGTTTAATATACCACATGGTCACCACTGGAAGAGCTGTGTGCCATGTCCATTTAGCCCCGAGAGGAAGCAGGCAGAGCTACATCAGACCTGATGGATAATAACTTGTAAGTATAATGGCTTGATCTGAACTCAGCTGGTTTGAAAAGACTCATAGTAAGATGAAACCTAAACCTCAGGTTTCAATGGGCATGTTTAAAGAAAAAGAAAGAGTAAAAAGAGAAACAAGATGTATTTTCTTGCTAGTTTAAAGGACATAATTGTCTTCCAGCAGCAATGGGAGGGAATGCCAGGGGTATCTCTGCACAACATGATATGGGGCCAGCAGCTTACCTGGATGGTCCTCGCTGCTCGGCATCACCCCAGGGAGTGCCAGGAGAGGCAGGGAGCTGGTACGGTTGTCTTGGTGGGAGAAAAAAAAACAAGATTGTAGAGGGATAGATGTAATTAAATGTGTGTTTTGGCACAGCTATCAACCTCAGCCACTTAGCAACAGTCATTGACTTTGGGAGGTGGTGCTTTGAAGTCAGACAGAAGCAAGTGTGCTTCCTTGCAGGGGCAGATCACATGGGACGGTGCGCTGTTTGTGTCACCCTCTGTGTCATTTCTGGAAAGGAAGCCAAATTAAAACAAATTGCCAAGAGAGAAAGTTTCATTTGGGAAGAGATGAAGAGGATCACCAGCAAATACAACAGTTCAGGTAGGAATAGAAAATTTGAGCACTGGGAGGTATGCAATGAAATGTGGGGAATCATCCACACCCAGACACCAGAGAAGCCTTAGATGAGATTCCAAAACCACCAGCAAATGAGGAGAGAGGAAATTCCAGTCCATGCTCCAACCTCCATGGCTTAGCAGTCTTGGTGGACAAGATACCCAAGGTCCCTGTGGTGGCAAGCCCAGGTCCCCATGTGGGTGCCGAGCTCCTCCCACCTTGGCTGCTCTTGCCACACCACGCACTCCATGCCCAGGGCCTGGAGGCTTAAACCTTCTCTCCTTCTCTCTCCAAGTGTCAGGGAGGCAAAGCAGGAGGGGGTGTGGAACCATCCCTACTGTGAGTGCAGCAGATGGAGCAAACTCCATGGGAACTGCTCTCATCCACGTGGGAGAGGCCAGAGGGAGAGCGGGCGCCACAGCCGGCCAGCAGAGAGCTGCTCCAGACCAATATATCACGGGTGCTTTCATAGTTTCGTGCCCATTACATTTTGCTGAGCTCAGGCATAAGGATGCAGGGGATTTAGAGACTGTTTATTTTTGTCGTAAGGAAACAGGAAATAGTACACAAGGCTATAAATATACCTCGGGCTTCATATGACATCATGAACTCGTACGAGTGCTTCGCTTCTGATTTACGATGATGGACTGGTAATTCACAGGAGCTTTGGGTTTACTTTATTTTGCTGTTGCAGTAACAAAGCTAATGGTGCAATCCCGGGAGGGGGTATTTTATCAATAGTGAATTTTTGACCTCATTGCATACGTTTTAACTTCATGAATTAGTGACCCAGCTAACTGTAAAGCCTTCTATAGGCCTATTATAAATCTATCACAGGACTGGCAAAAACTTTTGGCCCAGATCCTAAGCTCTGACAGGCATGTGTTGATGGACTGCATAGCAAGCACTTCCACTAATATTTCTCGCTAATTATACCATATATTAAGAAAAAATGAATGAAGCCAATGTTTATATGCAGCTTTAACTGCTTTTCATATAAGAAAGCAACACAATCCCTAATAAATTTTCACCTTCAACATTTCTATTCATTATAATTTTTACCATGATGAATGAAGTTAGAACTGGAGAGGGAGGGGGTTCATCTTGAAATCTGTTCAGTGAATGACTGAATTTACTTCCCTTCCCCAACTTGTGTCGAGGAAGGAGGGAACAGATGGACACAGGAAGAAGAGGGAGGCGAGTGCGGAACGAAGGAGATGGGTGAGGAACAGATGGAGTTGGGGAAAAGTGGAGAGGAGAGTCAGCAAGGATGGTAGGAAAGTTTTCCACTTGACCTTGAGTTGAGATGAAGATCTGCATACAGCTTGGGACAGCTAGATTTTTGGGATGCATCCTGTTTTCTCTCTGTGGCACTTAACGCTGCAAAGATTTTTGGGCCATCCCAGCAGCCCAGTCCATCCCAGGGGACCTGCAGAGCCAGGACTTGAATTTTTTCAAGGGGTCAGTTGCAGAAAGGCACCTGCACTGTGTTCAGGTTTCATAATGGTAATGGCAGGGGAGAAGTATGTGCAAACAGGACCCAAAATGGGTTGGGATGTCATAAGTCTCCCAGGTACCCCAGCCAAACCAGAAATTGGAGTTTATGACTTTGAAAAGGTATCCTACACCCAGTTTGTTAGGATCCAACGGCCAAAATACTCAGAGTAATTTATGATTTTACCTGCCTAAAGTAAGGCATTCGAGATGGCCTGATTTTCAGAATATGCTGAGCATCTGCGTTTTGAGGTGTATTGAATTATATATCCCAAATCACCAGTAAGTCTTGGAAAATCTTGATTATATTCTTAATTCTATTAAATTGCCTGCATATACTCCGTTGGTTCTGGCTTTGCTAGTTGAAGAATGGAAGAGGTGAAAGTTAAATATTGGCCATGTGTGTCATTCCCTTTGAAGAAAATGGGAGCCATGTGCACTCACCTAACAGCAATGTTTGGCCCCAACTATGATTTCACAGCTGGGCCCTAACTTCAGGAATGCCAAAGCACTAAATGACTCAATTGGAGTAATCTGATCAATGCTGTATTTTTGCTGTGGATTTAAATTGCACACACAGCAAGAGCAGAGTTAGTTTTCTTCTCTCTCAAAATCACTTTTCTCTGCAGATTTGATAGCATAAATATGAAGTATTGCTCTCATCACACAACTAAGTGAAATGGCAGAAAACGTATGTCAAATAAAATGCACAACATTACGTCCTTTTTAGTTTTTGGAGGCTGTTTAAGAAAACGGCTTCATTAATTTTGACTGAATAAAAGGCTCCTTTAAGGGATTTCAATAAGTGACACGAAAAATGTTAATATGAATGATCAAGACAATGGAGGTTAAAACTGTTTTGAAAATATGTTTCTTTTATAGATCTCAGCTGTTGGAAGAGTTACAGAATAAATATACGGTAGTGCTGACATTCGGTGCTGTTTCATCTTAGCAAAAGAGTTTTTAATAAAGAAAATTCTTTTCAAGGAATGCTTTCTGCAGCCAGTCTTCAAAAAGAGGTTTTCTCCCCTCCTAGTTTAATAAAAATTAAAGTAATTTATGTCATATTGATATGTCGATATGTTTTTCAATAAACTTTTTCACAGAGTTTTTTTTTTAAATTCTCTTCACTTTAAAAATTATAATTATATGTCTTCCTCCCACTTTGAAAATGGCACAAGGTGCTCATTTGCAGAGCTCTACTGTTCAAATCTTCACTGAGAATAGAAATGTCATGACTCAGTTAACAATGCTTTATTATTCACATTGATCTTTTTTTATAGTGTTCTTTATCTCAAAAACATTGTAAATCAGATATCTTCCTCCCACTCTTTTGTTCATTTGCAAATTTTTATTATTCTAGTTTAAAAAAGCAATGGAGTGTCAAGAGTCAGTGTATATTGTTTATGTTCTTTTTGCTTTAAAATTACTTTTAACTATAAAAAGTAAGATGTATAGCAGGGAAAAAAAAAAAGGCTGATTTTAAGGATGCTTAAAAAAGAATTGAAGGGATCAGTGTGAATTTTATGCTGTTCTCTTACACCTTAGGGTTATAACGACTTTGCAAGAAGGGGGACCGAACACTTTATGGAAAAGGTTTTATGTGCTAATTCAGAAGTCCCTGTTGCATCAGACATCATCATCCACATTGAACACTGGACATAATTCACCCTCTAAATGAACACAAGAGCAAAAGTCACAACTGGTTTTGCAGTGTGTTCCCTGGATGGTTTACCGGTGCCTGCCCAGAGCCCTGCACTCTCCATTGCTCCCTGTCAGAGCCTGGCATCAGGTCCTCAGGAGCCCCTGCCTGATAACCACCAAGATAAATCATGGAATTTTCACAGGGACCTCACAGCTTTGGTATCAAGTGTTAACTGCAGCAGAAATATAACCTTGTCTGGGCAACAGGCAAGGCAACCCCTGAAATCTGTGGGTGCAGGATACAGCTGAGCATCCTCCAGGAGAGCCACGCTGGGGACCCCAGGCCTTGTTTCTAGATTGGATCTCCCAAATTCTCCTCCAGCCACTGTTTTCTTTCCCTATCATGTTTTTCTTTAGGTCTGTATCCCTCTCCTGACCACTGAGACTGTATGAAATGGCTTCTATGAAATAAATCCATTGAAGGAATTGGGGTTAGTCCAGAGAGCAGCAGGATCTGGTGGTATTTCACATGCTGTTTGCTGTCACGTAATTTTTTTTTTCTTTTGCCTGTTTTGAATTTTATGATCAGAACATCTTGGCACTCTGCTGTTATTCCAGCAGCTCTTGAAAGAGATCCTACTTTCTGGGAGCCTCTGAGATGGAGTGGTTATTCTTGAAGTTTTCTTTAAACTCCAGCTTGGATTTTTTTGATCTTATGGAATGACAGAGTAGTTTGGGGTTGAAGGGACCTGAAAGACCATTTAAGTCCAACCACCCACCATGGGCAGGAAGACCTTCCACTAGATCAGTTTGCTCCAAGCCCCATCCAACCTGGCCCTTGAACACTTCCAGGGATGGGGAGGATCTTTTAGGTGGTGTGGTGGGGATAATAAAAAATCTCAGAGCAAGTAAGTCTCAAACTGAACCTGCCCTGTCCTTCCCCCTTCAAGTGGAGGGCTTAGCAATCTGTTTGTTCTTATTAATGCCAATGGGTTACCCCAGACACCACAGGGTCATGCCAGTGCTTGTTCCCTCCTGGAGCTGCAGGGATTTGGGAAGCACAGCACCACACAGAGCCCTGGAGGCTGCAAGGCCACCCTGCCCTGGGTTCTGGGGCAAGTCCTTCCCAGACCTCATGGGCAAGTGCTTATTTTGCAGGATTAACTCAAACCTCTCAAATTCTCCTTATTCTTCACTGCAGAATGTGGAACTGGAGGTTTTAATGTATTGTCTTATAGGAAGTGATCTTGTTTTCAAAGTAAAGAAAAAACAAACATTATTATCATTGTTATTATTATTATTGTCCTTGCCTTGACAGCACTGCTGCATTAATTCTTCCTTCCCTCCTCTCATGGTTAATCACTCACCACACAGTGAGGTTAAGATTGTCTGCCAATACGATCAAATTTCAAAACAAAATCCTAACCAGAGCAGAGTAGCCAGAAGTGGACAGGGTTTAATACACTGGCAGAATAACTAAAGGTAGGTCTCACCCGTGGATATCCTTGTGTAATTGTTCACTGTTCAGTTTGGGAAATTTATAGATATT